GGATGGTGCTCCCTCCCCAGCCCTGCCCCTGGATGGTGCTCCCTCCCCAGCCCTGCCCCTGGATGGTGCTCCCTCCCCAGCCCTGCCCCTGGATGTCCAAGCACCTTGGCTTTGGACATGGAGGCCCTATAGCACAGGGGGGTGTATCTGGGGAAGGCCTGTGATTGTTACGCGTTTTCTTCCCAGCGGACTCTGTGACCATGCCTGTGGCCTACAAGGAATACAGGCCCCACCTTGTGGACCAGGGGGCAATGCTGCTCAATGTGTCAGGCCACGTCAAGGAGAGTGGGCAGGTACTAGCCAAGCAGCACACCTTCCGTTTGCGCACCCCAGACCTCTCTCTTACGGTGAGTGTGGCTTTCTGGTACCCAAGGGTACCAGAATAGAATAGAGTAGGAGCCTGAGGCTAAGGAGAATCATGGGCAAGGGGAGAGCACTAAGCCTGAAACAAGATGCCCTGATGAGCCTTCTAGGAGAAGGTTAAGGACCAGACCCAGGCCTTAGTCTCCTCATCTGTAAAATGGGTTCTCAGGCCTGATCCTGTGGCTTCCTCACATTGTAGAATCGATATGAGTTTCCCCTCTGGTTTTTGAGGTGGTTTTTCTCAGGGACAGAATGTAGGACTTGGCAAGATTTTAATTCTAACATGTTTCTCCTTTGGGTGTGAAGTATGGGCCCTACATGTCTGGCCAGGGTCTCTGATAAGGGGCGGATTTCTGTTTCCCTCAGTTACTGGGAGCAGCCGTCGTTGGCCAGGAATGTGAAGTACAGATCGTGTTCAAGAACCCCCTGCCCGTCACCCTCACCAACGTTGTCTTCCGGCTCGAAGGTTCTGGGTTACAGAGACCCAAGGTCCTCAACGTTGGGTGAGTCTGATTCTCTGACTGTGGCCACCCTCCCTTCCTCCCGGGCTGCCCTGAGCCTGGGTTCTGCTTCTCCTTTTGGCCTGGACCCCACAGAGCAGCTTGAGGCCAGAAGGCAATCTCTGGCGACTCAAGCCAACTCAGCCCAACCCCTGCTCAAGACCTGCTGAGTACCTCGTGTTTCACTAAGTCCCTGCCCTACCTCAACTAATTAGGGAGCTGAAGCTCACATGGGAACCATTAGTAGCCCATCCCTAGCATCTGCCAAACATGCAAGTGTTGACCATGCACTTCCAGGAATGTTATCTCATTTGGAGATCACACAGGCCCTTTAAAGTACGTTAGAGTCCACGGTGTAATTAGAAGGAGAGTTGTGATCTCTAAGTTCAAGCCCCTGCATCCCCTGCTCCCGACTAGGTCCCCTTGGCCAGGTGTCTTCATTGCTCTAAGCCCGTGGGGGCTCACTTGCACAGTGACAATACCAAAAGCCCCTGGGCTGTTTGGCCCAGCATGTGGTAGAGTTCGTCTCCACTACTAGTCAGTTTTGAGTTGTTGCCCTCATCACCCCATGGGGAAGCGTCACAGCTCCGCAGGGCAGGCTCTGTTTCCCCTTCGGTGGCACAGACAACCCAGATGATTAGCTTGCTGCATGGTCTGGGCCGTGAGGACTGAGGCTGGTCCCAGAGAGCGGTGAGCCCTGACTCTCAGGCCCTCTGATCTCCGCTGGGTGAGGCTCAGGGCCCAGTGAGGGCACAGGGCACTCACGTTCCTGCACCTGTTGCTGTCGTCCTCCGGCACAGACACTTGCGGCCCACCCCTCCCAGGAAAAGCAGGAAGGGAAGGAGAAGGCCGAGGACCTTCTAAGCCAGCTTTCTCCTGACAGGAGTGGGCGTCCTGTTCTAAGAGAGGCTAGGAGAGGACCTAGGGTAGAGCGTCCAGACATCCAACCTGCCTTTCCCTCATACCTTATGCTGGTAGCCACTGTTTCTGTTATCATGCCGAAGAGGAAGTTCACTGTCTCGTTCTTTGGCCTAGCCTGGAACTCAGGGGCTTTGCTATCACAAAGTAGACCCTACAAGGGTTCCTGGCAGCTCAGATGACAGAGTGTGACATGGGTCCTGGGACATCACTCAGCTGCATTCGCACCACAATGGCGTCTCTTGCCTTAGGCTCCCTAGAGGCGTACACCCTTGCCAGGTTCACCAAGGTCTCTGACTCTTGGGCTGCTCCCACTAGAAGGGCAGGACCACGGTGCTAGGAGAGCTGGCCTTTCTTGTGTGTGGGGCTTGAATGGCTGCCTGGCCCCACCCTCTCAATCAAGGTCTCCATTGCAAGAGCTGGGTGATGCCTGGCCTGGCAGCCTTCCTGGAACTCTGCTGCTTCTTGATTGCTATGATCCTAGAGCAGAGAGCCTCTAGGACACTCGGTAGCCTCGAGGGGACATAGCAGATTCCAAGATGGGTGTCGCTTTGCCTCTCAAGTACACATCAAAGACTGTGGTATGGGACCCAATTACACCACAAGGTGTGCCAGCCTGGTGACTGGCCACTTAATAAACATTCCAGGACTCACTCCTCCGGGTGACTGTGTCACCAGGGAGGTTGGAAGTTCTTGGGAATTTCCCCCAGGACCGGAATCACACTCTCTCTAAACCTTTGGCCGGTGTCCATTCTGGAAGGGTAGCTTTGACTTTAGGGAAAAAGGCTGGAGCAATTTAGAGTTAAAATTCATTACCAAGGAGAACCAACAAGTGGACGATAATGTCAGCATCATTTAGAAATTATGCATGCCACAAAGGAGACAGAGGTGTGTGTACCTGCCTGTGAGCGATGGAGGGGGATGGAGGAGGAGAGCGAGCTCTGGGATGTCTGTTGCTGAGGAGAGTTTCAGTACCAACCGGCAGGTAAGGGACAGCCCAGCTTTTACAGCTGACTTGCTCTCAGCTTAAACTCAAGTACAGGGGGGTGGCAAGGGCCTCACCTGGGCTGTAAGAACAGTCCAGGGGAGAGTCTGACATTCCCACCTGGAAGCTGGCTAGCAGGGTCTTCTTTTGGGAGTGGGGAGATAATGTTAGTGGTCGTAATTTAAAGGTTAACTTCTGGAATATTACAACTCAATAATAGTAGACTTTCGAAGGGTACGGTAAGGCTAAGTAACCTTTCACCTCCCGACTATAGAGAACCGGGAAAAACTAAGAGCTCAAATGTATAGGCAGTCAATGCATGACCTGTGGAATTATGGATTCATTTTTTTCCTTCCTATCATGACACCCACTCACCTCATCTCACTCATTCTGTCTCATGAACCAGCAAGTGAGGACACCGGTCCAGGGGACCCTCAGAAGCAGGCTTCACGCTAAGTGCTTCAGCCCAGGGGACCCTCACTCTCAGAATTAGAGAGCTGGCTCACTCCCTTGGGGGCTAGTACCCAAAACGCGGACCCCCAAGGCAAGCTTGGGTTGGAATGGGACTCAGAAGTACAGGTTTATGAAGAATCAGGAGATATTCTAACAGGCATGAACTGACTCCGTATAAATGAGCCATGAACATATTTAAAATGCAGTGTGTCAGGTGGGATGGTAAATACCTGTAATTGCAGTGCTTGAGAGGCAGAGGTTCAAGGGTTCAGAGTTCAAGGCCAGCCTCAGCCACATCATAGTGAATTTGAGACTAGTCTGGGCTACATGAGACCTTTTCTAAAAAAAAAATCCAATGAGTAAAAGAATAAAGTGTGTAGGTTGAAGGAAGAGCCCCGAAAAAAAAAAAAAAAAGAAAGACCCGTTTCCTTGGGGACAGGAGGTACTGAGGGGAGCCCTTGCTGAGGCAGTGGTGTGAGCCAGGACTTGGACAAAGAGTAGTGATGAAGTTGGCAGAGCTAGGAGCTCAGGGCAGGTGCGCTCAACACCGCAGAACATGACGACGGTGAGTTTGGGAGAGATAAGCCAGGGCGCTGCTCCAGAGGCAGAATGGTGGGTGACACAGCTGTGCCAGGGTGGGAGCTGAGTCAGAAGGAGCCTGTATGTCAGGTTAGGGAGTTGACGTCTCTGTCAGTAAGGAAGCCCAACCCTTGAGGGATTTAGCTCACTTCCCCATGATTAGTGGACTGGAGAAAGGCGAGATGGCCAGTGAGTCTGGTGAAATCCTGATTTCCAGAGCTCTCTGAGGAGAGGAGGTCACTGGTGTTTGGGTCACACACAGAGAAATGGGAGAAGCTGTCATCTTAAAAGTGTCAACTGTCCATGCTTGGGACGACCTTTTTCACTGGATGACATCCTTCTGTTAATTCGGTACCGGAAGTTCTCCCCTCTTTGTGAGGACAGCTGTGGCCCATTTCTTTAGCTTGCTCTTCTGGCAAAAACTGAAAGCATTTGGGATCCCTGCTGGGCCTCCGTGTCTTGCTCTAAAGTGCCCGTGGCCTTGAAACCCTGGTGAGATGGGGTAGCTTAGAGCAGGGGCGGCGGGAAGAGAGCAGTGGATGCCTCTGCCTGTGGAGAGCGTCAGCAATCTCTGTCCAGGTGGGAGCAGGAATGGAGGAGGCCAGGTGCTGGCAGCTGGGTGTGGAGGTGGCCTGGGGTGGAGGCTCTATCCGGGTTGTGGGTGTAGATTCCAGCTGAACCCAGGGATGCCTGGATGCCTCTCGTTCTTTGCTCCCTGGCCACTCTGGGTCAGTCTTTGCTCTTGACTTTACCCTGAGGCACTCAAGGCTCATTGATACTGTCTCTGTCTACAGGGACATCGGGGGTAACGAGACAGTCACCCTGCGCCAGACATTTGTGCCTGTGCGACCAGGCCCCCGTCAGCTCATTGCCAGCCTGGACAGCCCACAGCTCTCCCAAGTACACGGTGTCATCCAAGTGGACGTGGCCCCAGCCTCTGGGGGTGGAGTTTTCTCAGATGCTGGAGGTGACAGTCGCTTGGAGGAAAGCATACCTATGGCCTCTCGAGGTGGAGCTTAGCCCCGGGCCAGGAGCAATGAGACTGGAATCAGATGAATAAGGACATTGCCCCATCGTGGGGGACCACCACAAAGTAGCTCCCCAGGCTCAGGCAGGAAGGCTGGGCACTTGGGGAGGCAGTGGATCTTCACCTGTGCTGATAATAAACGGTTTGTTTGTTTTTTTAAATGAAGATGCTATTTAGTATACCTACCTGTCAATCTAGGCCAAGAAGTATGGAGTCACACTGTGCCGGAGATTTATGTGGCATTTTTTGAAGCCCTGGTTCAAAATTGTGGCCGGAAGGTAATAGTGCCATGTCAGCCACTCTTGAGATAAAGCTTGCTGAGTGTCATGGCCACCACACCCAAACTGTATTTTCAAATATTCTTCAATAAATTGGGCCTGAGAGCACAGGCCTGTGATCCCAGTTACTTGGGAATTAGGAGGATCTAAACTTTAAGAGCTGCCTGAGTGACAGCGTGAGTTCAAGGCCAGCCTAGGTAACTTGGGGAGACCCTGTCTCAAAAGTGAAAAGAACACTGGGAATGTCGCTCGGGAATATGGGCGCAGTATTTGCCTGGTATGCTTAAAGCCCCTGTGCTAGAAAAAAGATCTTGTAGAATTTTTATAGAAGTGATTATGTTCATTGTTGAGAGTTAACCAATGACAGGGCCTTCAGGGTGGGTCCGTAGGTGAAGATGCTGTTATCAAGACTGACGACGACCTAAGTTCCATCCCAGGACCCACCGGGTAGAAGGAGGGAGCCCGTTCCAGCTCCCACAAGTCATCCCCTGACCCCACATATGCGCCACCTGGCCTCATTCAGAAGCCTGAGGCAGGAGAATCGTGAGCTTGGGCTGCACATCAAGATCCTACCTCAAGCCGGGCGGTGGTGGCGCACGCCTTTAATCCCAGCACTCGGGAGGCAGAGGCAGGCGGATCTCTGTGAGTTCGAGGCCAGCCTGGACTACCAAGTGAGTCCCAGGAAAGGCGCAAAGCTACACAGAGAAACCCTGTCTTGAAAAACCAAAAAAAAAAAAAAAAAAAAAAAAGATCCTACCTCAAAAAAGCCAGCAAGCAGCCAAGCATGATGCCACAGCACGTTCGATCCCAGTACTTCAGGGGACAGAGGCAGGTAGATTTCTGAGGCCAGCCTGGTCTACAGAGTTGCAGAACAGCAAGAGATACATAGTGGAAACCCTGTCTCAACAAAAACAACCTCCCCCATCAAAAAAAAAAAAAAAAGACAAGGTGATAGTCTTGCTCCCAAGCCACTTTCAGGTTCTCCTGAATCTCAGTGGCTGCAGCCTCCTCTCCGCTCAGGCACGGGGTGCTGGGTAAGTGACTCGGAGCTCCCCTGAAATGCCGCTTCTCATCCAGCTGTACCTTCCTACACAATCTTAACCATTCCCTGATTTTAGGGACCACTAGCTCTCCAACTTGCTTCTCTGCTGCCTTCTTAGACCTCTGCCAGATGTCTGATGGACACCCAGGTGTGGCTCCCTCCATGACATCCTCCTGCAGCTACTTCTGTCTTGGTAAATGACAGCTCCGCTTTCCCCAAATCCTTGCACTTGCTTTTTTTTTTTTTTTCTTTGAGACAGGGTTTCAGATTTGGTGCCTGTCCTGGAACTCACTCTGTAGTAGACCAGGCTGGCCTTGAACTCACAGAGATCCACCTGGCTCTGCCTCCAGAGTGCTGGAATCAAAGGCGTGCGCCACCACCGCCTGGCCTCTTAATTCTTTCCATTGTTCTACGTCCCACAGCCAGTCTGTGGGCGAGTCTGATTTTTCTGTCTTTCCACGCCTATGCCCAGGAGTTGGCTGTTCCCACTTCATCCTTTCCCTGCATCATTGCCTGGAGCTTCCTGGCTGTTCTCCCCACTTGCCTCTTCTTTACCCCTCACTCAGCCACCCCCAGAATGCAGTGGATGATCACATCAACCCTCTGCTCAAATCCGGGCTAAGCCGGTGCTTATGACTTGTTACTTTGTTTTGTTTGTTTGTTTTTGACACAGGGTTTCTCTGTGTAGCTTTGGAGCCTGCCCTGGATCTCACTCTGTAGACCAGGCTGGTCTCGAACTCACAGAGATCCCCCTGCCTGTCTCCCAAGTGCTGGGATTAGTCGTGCATCACCCCCGCCCGTGACTTGTTACTTCCTCGCCTCCAGTCTCAGGTCCTTGTCTGGCTTTCTTGGTTGTGCTTCTGTTTCAGGAACTCTGTGACTTCATCCTCTCCTGGAGAAGCCCTTCACCAGGTACCTCACAGTGTATATCTAATTCTTTGTATGACTGGCTTGTTAGCAAGTTCTCTTTCCCAATCTGCCCATCAGAGTCCAAGTTTCAAACTTGCAATCCTCCTGCCCCAGACCCCCAAGTGCTATATTAAAAACTCACATATCTGGCTCAATTTTTCCTTTTAAATTTATTTTATGTATGTGTGTGTGTGTTCTGCATATATGTATGTGTGTGTGTGTGTGTGTGTGTGTGTGTGTGTGTGTGTGTGTGTGTGTTTTCTGCACGTATGTATGTGTACCGTGTGTATGCCTGGTGCCTGTGGAGGTCAGAAGAGGTCATCAGATGCCCTAGAACTGGAGCTGAGGCTGTGAATCACTAAGTGATGCTGGGAACTGAACATCGATCCTCTGCTGAAGCAACAGGTGCTCTCAACCACTGAACCATCTCTCCAGCCCCCATGTATTTTTCATGGAATGTTATGTATTCATGGCATCAGGCTTTTCATATTGTTTCAATTTGTAAGTGGATGGGGGAAAAAAAGAAATAAAAAAGGAGGACATGACTCCTCCTAGGTGTGGAGGAGGAAGAACTTTTTTGTAGATATGAGGGAGAACATAGCCAGAGGTAGAGACATGTGGGAGAGTCCAGAGTGAACGTGACCCTGAGCCAGGCCTTGTGAGGAGTGGGGTATAGGAGAGGGGAGAGGCAGACCAAGAGGCCAGGAGGGTAAAGGGTGAAAAGGGCTGGCATAGCCAAAGTGGCTGGATTGTACGGGGAAGAGCTGCTGGGGGAAGGGCAGCCCAACTCGGGGGCTGGAGGGGACAGGGTAGAGGGTGGGGTGTGCCAGCCAGCCATGCCCTGTAACAGGTAGGGACTGAGGGATGCTGGGACAACCTGGTGGTCAGGTCCACTTTGATACGTTAAGTAGGCACCTGAGCCTTTGTCCCAGCTTTGAGACCTAAGCTTACTCTAAATTAGCAGCTTTCATACGACTTTAAAAGTAACGGACACAGCCGGGTGAGGCGGCCATTGCTTTAAACCCCTACCCAGAAGCAGAAACAGACAGATCTCCATGCTGAAGGCCAGGGCTGCATAGTGATACATGTTTTTTGTTTTATTTTGTTTTTCCAAAGACAGGGTTTCTCTGTGTAACAGTCCTGGCTGTCCTGGAACTCACTCTGTAGACCAGGCTGGTCTCGAACTCACAGAGGGCAAATTCACCTGCCCGTGCCTCCGCCATACCTAGCTGGGGTTTTTTGTTTGTTTTGTTTTAAAGCACCTAATTTTTAAAATGTAACAGGCTTGTTTTCTGTTGCTTTTTTATGCTAAGTAATCTTGAACTGCTTAAAAATGTCCAAAAAAAACGACAGCTAGAGGGCTTTCTGGGTAAGCCTGACAACCGAGTTTGATTCCTTGGACGCTCCCATGGTGGAAAGAGAGAGTTGACACCAGCAAGCTGTCCTCTGACATCCAAGCAAGTGCTATAGTATGCACATGACCCTCCCTTACACATACTCACAAATAAATAAATGTAGACAAAAATGGAAGTATCCAGAAGATTGGGTGGTATAGTAGCACATGCCTGTAATCCTAACAATTGGCAGGCGGAGGCAGGAAGATTTCAAATTTGAGCCCAGCCTTGGCTACCTAGAAACACTATCTCAAAAAAATAAATAATAAAGTATATGGGAGAATGAATGATTATGTGCATGTACTAAGCTTATTTTTTTAAGATTATTTTATGTGTATGGGAGTTTTGCCTACATGTATATATGTGTACCATGTGTGCATATACCTGGTGCCCCTAGAGATCAGAAGATGGCATTGGGTCCCCTGGAACTGGAGTCACAGATGGTTGTGAGCCACCATGTGGGTGCTGTGAACCAAACCTGGGTCCTCTGCATTCTTTGCATGATTGACTTGTTAGCAAATTCTCCTTTCCCAATCTGTCTGTCCTAGTCCAAGCTTTATGCGTTCTTAATCACTGAGCTATCTCTCCAGCCCCCAACTACTAAGAGATATTTTTTTTTCAAGACTGCAACCCCCAGATCCAGGGAGGCTACCTAGCAGGGAGGACCCTAGGATGACTGTGGCTTATAATAAGTTTTGGTTTTGTCCAATCACTGGGCAAGCTTTAGTGAAACATTTCATATTAGGATAAGAATTTGTACCGTTATCAAGCTGATGAAAGAAAATGCTGACTGTACTTTCAGGAGGAGAGGCTAAAATCTTTTTAGAATATGGATTAGCCTGCAGAAAAATGTCTGCCATAAATCAAACAGTGAAGGGGAAGATGAATAGGAATCTCACTCACACAACTTAAGTAAAACATAGCTCTCTGAAAAAATAAAAGAAAATACATATTTACTTTAAACTGATTCCTTTATCGTTTTCTGATATAGCTGGTATTCGGTTTTAATTGGTTTTGTAAACTAACTGCTCACTCTCAGGTTCATCTTGTGACAGTCAAACAGCCTGGGATGGTGTTGCTCTAGAAGACAGTGTGAACGTTGAGGTTCTCAATGCAGCAGCTAGCTTGTCTTTTGTGATTGCTTAGGAGAATGTATCCTCAAACTGCAGAACTATAGGCCATGGAGATACCTTTGTTGAGAATTCTTTTCTCTATTTTATCTGTTTTTTACTGGGTGGTGGTGGTGCATGCCTTTAATCTGGAGGCAGAGGCAAGCGGATCTCTGAGTTCAAGGCCAGCCTGGTCTACAGAGCAAGTTCCAGCATAGCCAGGGCTACACAAAGAAACCTTGTCTCAGAAAGTGAAAAATAAATAAAATGACTTTTATTTGAAAAAAAAAAAAAAAAAAAGACAGGGTTTCTCTGTGTAGCTTTGGACCCTGTCCTGGAACTCACTCTAGCCCAGGCTGCCTCGAACTCACAGAGATCCGCCTGCTCTGCCGACCGAGTGCTGGTTAAAGGTGTCACCACCACTGCCCTGCTTCCAGCTCCATTCCACTCTTAACAAGGCCTGCCCTCAAAAGTAACTAACTCTTGGGTTGGAGAGATTGTTCAGTGGTTAAGAGCACTGGGTGCTTTTCCAGAGGACTGAGCCGAGCCAGTTATAACTTCCGGTTTAGGAGATCACAAACCCTCTTCTGACCTCTGCAGACACTAGGCTCACACTTGGTGCACATACATACATGCAAAGCACTCATACACATAAGATAACCAAATCTTTAAAAAGAAAGAAAAACAGAGGGGGGAGGGGACTGACTAGCTGGGGTCACTAAAAGCCCAGTTAATCTGGAAAAGGGGAAGTTCCTCCCTCTGGTTCCTCCCACCTTTCATAAGGGGCACTCAACTCCAGCTTACTCTGGCTTGCCTGTGTTCCCTGGAAGAAGACAAAGATATATGGGCCTAAGAAACACGTGTGAGAGTCACAGCTCTTAGCACAAACTCTAAAAGACACCTACCTAATGTAGGACAATAGAATGCTCCCACTACCCCACCCCCTCAGCCTCCTTAATCACAAGAGCTCTTGGAGGGCTGGTGAGATGACCCAGCAGGCAAAAGCTGTGGACGGATCCCGGGGACCCATGTAAAAGTGGCTGGAAAGCATGGGTTCCCCAAATGTGTCTTCTCACCTCTGTGTGTGCATCATGGCACTTGGGCACCCAAGAAAAAATAAAAAATTTAAAAAGAAAAAAAAACAAAAACAAGAGCTCTTGTATAACAACAGGAACATAAGGGAAAGAATGGCACATCGTGCATGTTAAGAAGTTTCTAGAAGCCAGACATCGTGATGCATATCTAAAGCCTCGGTATTTGGGAGACAGAAATACGAGGGTGCAAAGTTCAAGGCTATCCTCAGTACATAGCTAGTTCCAGGGTAGCCTGAACTACATGAGATTCTGTCTCAAGAAAAAAAAAATGAGGAGAGATGGTATGTCTTAGTTAGGGTTTCTACTGATGTGAAGAGACACCATGACCATGGCACCTCTTATAAAGGAATACATTTAACTGGGTGGCTTACAGTTTCAGAGGTTCAGTCCATTATCACCATGGTGGGATATGGTGATGTGCAGGCAGACATGGTGCTGGAGCTGAGAGTCCTACATCTTGATCCAAAGGCAACAGGAAGTCAACTGAGACACTGGGTGGTATCTTGAGCATATATGAGACCTCAAAGCCTGACTCCACAGTGATAGACTTCCTCCAAAAAGACCACACCCACTCCAATAAGGCCACACCTCCTAAAGTAGTGCCACTCCCTCTGGGGGCCATCTTCTTTCAAACTGCCATCGATGGCTCGGCAGCTAAGAGCACTTGCTGCTCTTGCAGAGGACCAAGATTTGGTTCCCAGCACCCACATGTCAGCTCACAAGAGTCTGTAGCTCCAGTTCCAAAGAATGAGACACCCTCTTTCGGCTCCATGGACACTAGGCACGCACACAGTGTACACACATACATGCAGGCACAGCACTCATATACATAAAATAGAGAGAAATAGTTGAAGATAAAAAAAAACAACAAAAGCAAAATCTAAGAACTTCAAAGACAAGAGATGTGCCAATAATAAAAAGTACTAGAGGAATTTTAGTCTGTAACATCTACAGCTGCAGTCAACAGTAAACACAGCGTAACCTCTAGCCAAATAAACACAAAAACCTTGCCAAAGGTTTCCTCAATTCCTTTAATCCACACATCTGAAGTTTCACAAAAAAATTATTTGGCACACTAAAAGGAAAACAAAACCTACACACAGTTTGAATTGGCAGAGCAAGCACCAGAACCAGACTCAGAGATGGCAGACATAATGGAATATTATACCCAAAATTTCAAAGCTATGGCCAATATAATCCGGCTTCTGGCAGGAAATGTGGACGACAAGGAAGAACAGGTAGGTAATAGGAACAGAGAGAGGAAATTCTAAGAATGAACCAAAAGGAAACAACATCGTTACAGGAACAAAGAGTTCCTGGGCTCCTCAACTGACGGAACCATCACTGAGCGTGAAGAAATAATCGTCAATGGAATTACCCAAAATTAGGGCTCAGGATGTAGCTCTGGTGGCTGAGTACTTACCCAGCATGCACAGAGCACCTGCACTGCATAAGTTACAGAAGTAGTGGTGCACACCTGTAACCTCAGCACTTGGGAAGCAGAGGGCAGGGGCAGGAGTTCAAGGACATCCTTGGCTACATAGCAAGTTGTAGCCAGAAGTTTCTTTGGTCCCACCCATCCCCACGGTCCCACAGCCACTTATACAATAATCACTCAGAGGCTTATATTAATTACAAACTGTATGGCCAATGGCTTAAGTTTCTTGCTGGCTAGCTCTATCATCTTAAATCAACCCATTTCTATTCATCTATGTTTTGCCACATGGTTGTGACATTAACAGTCTGCTGGCGTCTTGCTCCTTGGGCTGCAGGCTGGCATCTCTCCCACCTCTCTCTGCCTTTCTTCTTCCTGTCTCTCTCTTGGATTTCCCACCTGGCTATAACCTGAATTGCCATAGGCCAGAGCAGCTTCTTTATTAACCAATCATAGCAATACATATTCACAGCATACAGAAAGACATCCCACAACAGCAAGTTTGAGGCTACTCATATATATATGAACTTGTCTAAAAGCTGGGCTATGGGGGCACATGCCTTTAGTCCCAGCACTTGGGAGGCAGAGGCAGGAGAATCTCTGTGAGTTCAAGGCCAACCTGGTCTACAAAGTGAGTTCCAGGGCAGCCAGGGCTACACAGAGAAATCCTGTCTTGAAAACCAAACCAAAACAAAACAAAAAAACTTGTCTAAAAAGCTAAAATGTTTCTAAAATGAAATGCAAACAATAAACAAAGGTGGAAAAGATATAATACCCAAGAAGTGTTACACTACAAAGGTGTAGCATAATATTGTGGAATTTTGTCCCCTGAGAACAGCCATTGTTATTTTAACCAGAGCAACTTCCTATAAGAGCCATCTGGATGGCTGTTCATACTCCTCCAGGGAACAAAGTGGTGGAAAGAGGCCTGAGACGCTCACCAGAGTCCCGCCCACTCTCCAGTGCCTCCATCCTAGCTGTGTGGAATTCTGCCCCAGCTGCATGTGGTCTTTAGAGATGACAGTACAGAATGTAGAAGGTTAAGTGAAAAGAGACTTCCATCTGCACAGCTGTGGAGAAGCTGTCCTTCATGCCAGGGTGAGTCTTTTCGGTGACGTGCTGTTTGGGGGTCACCTCCACTCCTGTGAGTAAACACCCAGAGTCAGCAAACTAGACTTGGACAGAAGCATTACTTTGCTCTGTCTCTGTTGTCCGATTTGGGATCAGCAAGTGGTGTTTTGTCTCCCAGAAGGTCATGCAGCACACATAACCAGTGAAAACAAATGATGAGGGAATCTTGGAAGCAATGACTGAGAACTGTCCAAAAACAATGACAGACATAAACACAGATCCAGAAAACTCAGACTAGCAAGCGGAATAAATACAAACACAAACAGATCTAAATGATACTCAGACTGCACATACACAAAATCAAAGACACACACACACCATACAGAAACAAGCAGAGAGGAGAGGAGAAAAGCAGGCCAGAGAACACCGTCTAATGACCATCAAGGTTAAGAATTAAATTAACTCATACATAAAACAGAAATAAATAAGACAGAAAAGAAATTAAGGGGAACTGGAGAGGAGGCTCAGCAGTTGAGAGCACTGACTGGTCTGACAGAGGACAGAGGTTCAATTCCAAGCATCCGTGTGATGGCTCACAACCATCTGTACCTCCAGTCGCAGGGGACCTAATATCCTGTCCTCTGTGGACACTGCACACCCCTGGTACACAGACACACATTCAGACAAAACACTGGCATTCATTAAATAAAAATAAATAATCTCAAAAGAAAGAATTAAGTTAACATGTACTAATTTTAAAAAGGAAATTAACTTCTCAGGGTTAAAAACAACGGATAACTAGAATGGACTTCCACTCAGAACCGTGCAAGCAACAAGGTAGTATAGTGAAATATTTGCAGTACTGAAGGAAAAAGCCCACCAACCTATAATTGTATTCAGAGAAATTCTCTTCCAAAGAGAAGTACTTTCTGAAACAATAATTAAGGAAATTTGTCACCAGCAAGGTTGCCTGGAAGATGTTAGAATTTTTTTTCTCCGAAGGCCGGGAAGGTCTTTCTATGTAGCACAAGTCGGCCTTTGAACGCCTAGAAAGATGTCTGTCCTCATCTCCCCTCATGCTGGGATTCATAGGTGTGCGCCACCAGACCGCGAGGAAAATTCTTTGGAGAAATAGGGAAATGAGGTCAGAAATTCAGATTTGCATAAATAAAAGACAGAGAAGGATGAAAGAAATCAACTACAACTTGACTATCCAATGTGTACTTTGGTACTAGGTCTGGCTGAGCTCACAACGCTGCTCTGGAGGATGCAGGCAACGCGTGAGCCCTGAGTGTGGGAATGGAAGAAACCATCGGAAGAGCGCAGGTTTCCTGAACTGCCTGTAAGGCGGGCAAAGCAGGCCATGAATGCAATCAACAAAGTAAGAGTGTCGACAGGGACAGCGTGACCGGTCCTGTCTTTGGGGATGGCAATCAGAGGCACCAGGAACTATGACAAGGAGACGGACAAGGAAAACAGTCAATCCACTGAAGGACTCAAGTTAGCGCTCAAAGAAACTCGGAAGAGGAAACTTTAAATACTCGAAACCACACGAAACAGCGAAGATGTGGCACAGAAAAGCACAAAAGCGCCCAGGAACCCCCTGGCTAACTGCGGTATTTCGGACGGGCGAGCACTCGGCGGCCGAACGCCCCTCCAGCGGTGTATTTGGTTTCTTGAACGCGAGCGCCCTCTTCTGTTTGGCGAAAGGAATGACCGAATTCCTTGAGGGAGCGGCTTGCGGCCCAGGAAAGGCTCCGCGGGCTCCGGTTCCGGCGGCTGGGTTTGCGGAACCCCCGGGGATCCGCGTGAACGGCGAGAGCGGCGCCACAGACGTCGGTTCAGGGCCGGGGGTCCCCGCTGACGTCACAGGTGCCTCCGCGGCCCCTTCCGGGGCGGGAAAGCGGGGCGCTCGGTCGGAAGTGACGCACCCGCGCGGTCCGTCGAGTGGCGCCGTTTTAAGCTTAGCGGTCTGGGTCGGTTCGTCCGTCTATCTAGTCACCGGCTGGGGGGCGACCCCAGAATTCCAGGGCTTTGCCGAAAGGATCCCAGCCAGTCCGCCGATCTTCCGGTGCCGACGAGAGAACCGAAGCTCCGCCTGCGGGGGAGGCCGGGCAGGACGAGAGGGGCGCAGGGGGAGAGGGTGCCCGGGCCATGGCTCCACCCCCCGGGGTGGGTCCCGCGTCCCTGCGGTTTGCAGCGGCCGCCAGCTGGCTGGTCGTCCGCCGCCGCCGCGTCGAGCACTTCCCCAGAGTGCTGGAGTTTCTGCAGTCCCTGCGCGCTGCTGCCCCCGGCTTGGTTTGCTACCGACACCATGAACGCCTGTGTATGGGCCTAAAAGCCAAGGTACTAGAAAGAGTAGAACGTAAAGGGGCGGGCGGGATGCGAGGACCCGAGGAAGGCCCGCTAAGGTTGGGATGAAGACCGCTTGGAAAAGGGGTGGGAATTCTGAGCGCAGTACCGTGCAGGTGGTGGTGGAGTTGATCCTGCAGGAGCAACCCTGGGCCCAGGTCCTGGATGCCCTGAATCATCACTTCCCAGAGACCCATCCCCAGAGACCAGTACCACTGGACCCCGCAGCTGTGAGTAATCCCTCGACAACCCATACTCATTAGGCGGGATGCTACCAAGTTGCCCCTGGGTCCTGGTGACACCCCCGCCTCCCAATTTTTCTGTCTTCCATCTCAACAGACAAAGCAAGATAGAAAGATTTGGGAGGCACGGGAAAGTTTTTGCCTGCATGTGAAGCAGCTGGCAGAGACTGAGGATTTGGCCTTGAGCCTGCAGGTGAGAACGGTTGGCTCAGAGGATGTTATGTGATGTCTGTTTTTCCTAAAACTCATCTGACCTGCTGCTTCTCTTTCCCACATAAAGGAACTCAAACAAGACTATGGGGAACCCTTTCTGGTTGCCATGGAGAAGCTATTCTTTGAATACTTGTGTCAGCTAGAAAAAGCACTGCCTGCAGTCAAAGAACAAGAGGTTGTTGAGACAAGACACCTTACGGGCGGAACGTGGGGTGGCCTTGCCGAGAACTGTGATGCTCATAGCTGTCGCCTCTCTTGCCCACAGCTTCAGGATGCTCTAAGTTGGGTTCAGCCTGGCTGTCTGGTCACCTCTTCTGTTGCTTTGCGCCAGTATGGTATGGACATGGGATGGCCATTTCCAGGTAAGAGAACCATCGGGATAACTGGAAATTTGGAGGTTAGTGTTTAGCTTGACCAAACCTGAGTCAGCCGATTAGAAATTATGTGGACCTGAGACACGAACCTGACTGGGTTAACCTATTACTAATTTTATAAGGCGTCTTATTTTCTCATTCAGAGAGCTCTGCTTCTGACTCAGTGACTCTGGCAGAACCCATGGAACAGAGGCCTCACCAGCAAATGAAACCAGCACTCCACAGTCCTCCGCCTCAAGCTAAGCTCCGCCTTCACCAACCAGCTTCACGGGAGCACCCAGAACATTTAGCTGGCAGCCGCTTTAATCTGGCCCCTCTAGGACAGCGAAAATTCCGATCACAGTGGACCTCTGCAAAGGGAAGCCATAAAGAGCGGCCTACAGTCATGCTGCTCCCCTTCAGGAGTATGGACTTACCAGCCCAAGACAGAGCTAACCCTAAAAGCAGAGAAGAGCATGGAGTGGACACAGCAGGTTCCGTGGGCACAAAAACCGTTTCCGGCGGGAAGTCTAAGCCGGCGTCTCAGGGCCTGGGGAAAAGGGTTCCAGAGGAGAGCCCGCCTGCCTCACCCAATGCACAGCCAAAGGAGTAAGGATTGCTTCTCCTTCCTTAGGAGCGCCCCTCGCCTACTTCCCTCCTTCACCCCACCTTCTCCCTTGTTTCCACCTCAGGAACTGTGTGGATTGCTACATGGACCCTCTAAGTCTCTCCCTATCACCTCCTAGAGCCAAGAAACCAGGTAAGTGGGCCGAGTCAGGACTGGGTCAGCCTGCCTGCCTTTGGGAATTTTGGGGGCCTGTATTCACATAAAAGAATGGTTTGGGTTTAATTGTGGCTTCTTCCCTGCAGTCCAGTCCCCATCCCTGTGTAGCTCTGTCATTACCATAGGGGACTTGGTGTTGGACTCTGAAGAGGAAGAAAGTGACCAGAGGGAAGGAAAGGTGAGTAGGAAGAAGCCAAAAGCTGAGCTAGAGGAGGGCAGAGCGAGGCAGGACTCCATGGTAGGGGTTCCCAGTTACAGGAATTATGCTTCCTTCTCTATAGGAGTCTCTGAAAAACTATCAGAAGACAAAGTTTGACACCTTTATCCCCATGTTTTGTGACTACATGCCAAGTCCTGCCTGTTCATTCCTGGCCAGATAAACAGTTCTAGGGGCCCGTAACAGTACTGGAATGTCCTCTGCACTGTCCATCTGCCTCTGCAGCCCTGCATGCAGTTTAGTGGAAATGAAGAGGAAGCCCAGACCTGAGCTGCCTGGCTACGTTGCTAAAGCTTTGTAAATGCTTGAAAATTAAAACTTGAATGTGTTACTCTGTCATGATGAGAAGAAGGGGAATTAAGACTTAGGTCTGTGTAGACCATTCATTCATCAGGAACAAAACTGGCTTGGTGAAGCCCTTCCTGTTCAGATTTATCTAGAAGGGTTACCAGAATTGAGAGAGCCTAGAAATCATTAATGCTGTTCTAACAACATTCCCTAATGCCAGGACATACTTTGTAAGTGCTCATGCTACTAAGTTATCTTGAGTTGGTGACACCAGAATGTGGATGCTTCATGAGAATAACACTCATTGTTCTTGATTCCACTGGGTCGGGGTCACTCCCACCTCTGCCCAGGAGGAGCGTCCAGATACCAGCCCGTGCAGAAAGCCCTGCACCTCTTCTTACCATCAATAGGATCTATCTTTATTAGGGTTATTTCAAATATTTAGGTACTTCTAAACTGTTTAGGTATTTGATGATCTCATTTAATGAAGCTGATTAACATGATTCCAAAAGCCTGCCTTTTCCAGACCAAGGCCTGTCATTTATGTATCAATCAGCATCTTTCCTCCTAACCTTCAGGATGCTGTCCCAGGTTCCCATCTGTTGATCTCGCATCTTCTTCCTTGCCTCTTCCCCAGTGAGTGCCCTTAGCATTTGTGTGTGTGCAGAAAGCGTAAGTGACTGCAGGAGCACTCAGGAGTGAGATGATAGGAACTGGGTTAAGGAACACACAGCCACGGTAGCTGGGAGGGGGGAGAAGCCCCTCTGGAAGGCCCCAGTGGTAGAGCATTGCTGCCTTGGGAAAGGAGACTTCTCGAGTCTATCGGGAATCGCTGAAGATTGGATTCACTTGCTGGGTGACTCGGATAAAGGTAGTTCTCCGACTCAATTCCTTCAGCTTAGCAGCGCCTACGTATGTGCATGTAGACCGGATGCCTCCTAGGATGTCACGAATAGTGTGTTCCACATCTCCTTTAAAGGGAACTTCCACTGTCTTTCCCTCTGAGGCCCTTAGAAAAGAGAAACTTTTATTACCTACTTGGTGATAGAATTCCTTTAGCCCAGTGACTCTTCCTGTCTCTAACATTTACAACACCTTCACCATTTTTCTCCCAAGAATGGTGCCTTGCATTTCCCAGGAGGTGTGACACCATTTTCCATAGTCCCATTCACCAACAACACTCACGTGCTAGCCTTCCATACATACCTGTACTCAGCCACACCTCCTGAATATTTCTTCATCGCCATTTCAGAACTCATTCCATAGAAGAGCTTGTACTTCTTGCCATCCCTTTCAATGAGTTCGCCACCTGATTCACTGTGCCCAGCCAGCATGCCACCCAGCATCACAAAGTCAGCCCCTGCCCCTGCCAAAGTCAAGGAGTTGGAAAAGATGCATCTGGCCCAGGTACCCTATAGCCACCTTCAAAGTCAGCTGTGTTTTCTACAGACCAGCAGCTTCTTGGGTCTGTTGGCATAGCTGATCCACAATTCCTTGGGGCTGTTCTGCCCTTGCCTCTGCTCCCCAGTGGGACTAACTTCCTCAAGGTTTTTACAGACCCAGAAGTTCCCTGAATGGTTTCTGCTTTTCCTATCTTCCCGTGATGTCATTTTACTGCTCCCCAGCTCAGGGTGACTTTAGTCCCAAGAGGATAGTCTCCAATCTTATGGATCACCTGGGAAACAGACAAATGAAGATTTGCAGTTTTGTTCCTCAGGGTGATTTTGGAGGTTGGATGTGGGGCTCAGAAGTCTACATTGGCCAACAATCTATGGCATGGCATAGGTGGCCCTGGATCATGCTTGGGACAGTCAAAATCTCAGGATTTCCTCTGCTAGCTTGTCACAGGTGACACTTTAGGTTTTAGAGTCACTAGTTCACATTATGAATCCGAATGGCTTCCCGAGCTGCCTCTAGCCTGACCCTAGACCCTCAGAGGTGACGTACAGGACCCTCCTGTGCTCTCCCAGTCTCCTTACCAAAAGCCTTTGCCACATCTCCAGGACAGCTGCAGCCTCCATCCTACAAAGTAACAAGCACTGTGAGAGACAGCATGGACTCCTCCAGGCTCTACAACTGCCCATGTCGAAATGGACAAGAGTTCAGGTCCTGAGCAGGACTTGGCTGGAGCCCCACGCTACAGAAAACACAGCTGCTAAGCAGCTGCAAACCCCCCCCCCCCCCAGCTTTTGGGTCTTACTGAAATGATATGGCCTCTGAGGCCATGAGCAGCGTCTGCACACTCCATCACCGCACTGAGCTGTGGATACCCGACTCCAGTTTTCTTCCGAGTTGTACAAACAGAGCCTGGGAAGAGCATGGCGGGTGAGAGCAGTGTTCTATGGTTTCCACCAAAGGGGTAAATAAAACGGTGGCCCCAGGGAACCAGCTTACCAGGACCAATTCCCACTTTGATGATGTCGGCCCCAGAGAGGATTAGCTCTTCTACCATCTCTCCCGTTACCACATTTCCTGCCTGAGACACAATCAAAACAGACCATCCTTAGGGTCAGCGGTGGAGAGCAGCCTTTGTGCCCAGACACCTTGACTCCGACTGTCCTATTACAAATAAAGGGTACTGGAGCCCCTCTACAGGACCCTTCACCAACTTCAAGGGACCTAGATGCCCACTCACCCTTCCCCCCACATTCAGACTTTCCCTTAGTGTGAAGTATGGCCAGTGTCATCGTTGACCTTTGAGGCAGTAAAGCTGACCAATGAGAAGACAAGGTGGCATTAAAGAGCTATTGGCGAGGCAGAGAAGCCACTCAGATCTGACAGTGGTCCCTTTCACTACCGGGTCACTCCTCCCCAGTCCTTCAGAGAAAACGGAAAGACTGAAACGGGGGCTAAAACATCCGTCTGCCTAACTACTGGGACAGTGCAGGCATTCCTTTCAATGCTGTGAAGAAAAGGAAGCCTTGGGTTTTGTCTCTAATAAGCCTCCAAAAAAATAAAACATGGTTTTATGTGATCCTTTTTGCTGTTAATTTGAGACAGGACCTCAGGGCTGGCCTTGAACTCCTGCCTCTACCTCCCAAATACTTGGATTATAGGTATGTGTCACAATGCCAGGCTTTCATGTAACACTATATTATTGCAGCACATGTTCATTTCAGTAGGCAGACATACATGTGCCACAGGCATACACAATGTATAAATGTTCCGTCATGTTTTGTTGGGGTTTTTCCCCCTTTGGTTTTTTGAGACAGCTTCTCTCTGTAGCCCTTGCTATCCTGGAACTCACTCTGTAGTCCAGGCTGGCCTCGAACTCAGATCTACCTGCCTCTGCCTCCCAAGGTGTGTACCACCACACCTGCTTCCATCATGTTTTTATATATATATATATATATATATA